ATATTTTGTTCATAACTCACCCGCAGCGCATTTATCTTCAAAACATTATGTTGTAATTTCAATTTTTTTTTCTTTCCGCGGTTAAAGGCCACAGTAAAAGAAAAAAAATAACAATTAAAATTAGAACGTAAAGTAAATTGGCGCACATAATTATGATTTTTCGGTATTTCGTTGATTACTACTAACTGTTTGCGTACTATTTCTTATTTTGTTGAATAATTTATAAAAGCAATATCTACTTGAATCTTGAATTTTTTTATTTGAAGATGCATTTATTTAACCAATGATGAACGATTTGATCTACTGGTACCATATTATATTAATGAGAGAAATGCTATTCGCGCTTTGGTATGGTACCTAAACAAATATCCTCAGCGTGATTTCCCCACTGTCACCTAAACCTAAACAAGGAGATAACTTTATTAAAAGTTAACTAATAAAGCCTCATATTTGTAATGACGATTTAGACATAGGTATTTTGACCTATTTTGAGTCATTCTCCGCTAATTCCACCCGCAATGCAATCGAAAATTTTTAAGTGTCTCAAGCTACGATAAGTAAAGTTCTAAAAAATACAATTATAAATGTTACCGCCCCGAAGCTTGCTTAAAGCTTCCAGGAGATAACATAAGATGATTTTGATTTTTGCAACTGGTTAAAACAGAAAATTGACAACGATTGACATTTTAATATAATATTTTATTCTTTGATGAAACTAATTTTTCTAATAATGGTATGTATAACTGAAAAAATAAACATTATTAGTCGAACACTAATCCTTTACGAATAACCGAAGGGCATCGCCAAGTGCGTTTTTCATTTAATTGTTGGTGCGGTATTTTGAAGTACAAAATATTTTATTTCTTTATGTTGGAACGTTGACCACATTTAAATATATAGAAATTTTTAACGAACTATTTGAAGAACTGGATAATTTGGCTTTGGCCCAGGCCAGCCGATAATTCTTTCAGCAAGATGGAGCCCCAGCCCATAATTATTAGCGGTATAGTATAAGAGATGTTGATTTTTGATAGCACTTTGGTGAAAATTTTATTGCAACACATGGTCCTGTGCTGTGGCCAGCGAGGTCACCAGATCTTACCCCTTAGATTATTTTCTCTGGGGGCAAGTAAAAAACGAAATCTACTAAGACACGTATAATGCTATAAATGACTTGAAACGATCTTTGAAAAATATTCTAAACGGAATCAATAATATTGTAATGGTGAATGCAGTATAATCCTTGTGACGTCGAATCCAGCTATGTATTGAAAACAATGGCCATCATTTTGAACAATTGATCAGTTATGGTTTAATAGGTAGGTAACACAGGAAAAAAGTTTTTTTTTTGATAATAATGAGCTCTTTCCTTAAGTTTGCCGTATGTAATTACTTCCCGGAATGTGTTCGATCGAACGGGTTCGATTCTTGGCTAGGAATATTGACTTTTCAAAAATCCAATGATGCAGTTTTAGTTTTCATGAAAATCGGTCCCGAGACTCCTTTGAGTATTTTTCGCTATTCCTCGTAGTTTCGGATGTGGCCATCCACACCTACTTAAAAATTCACCCGTATATATACGTAATACGTATATATATATATATTATATCATCTGAATCTCGGAAACGGCTCCAACGATTTTTATGAAATTTAGTATACAGGGGGTTTCGGAGGCGATAAATCAATCTAGATTAGTCTTATGTTTGAGAAAACGCGTGTTTTCGAGTTTTCATGCAGTTTTCTTTTGCATTATTCCACGCAAAATATAGTCGGTAATTTGTACGCTCGGATATAAGCATCATGGTCAAGCGGCCAAGGTGCAAGATCAACAAACAAAAGTGTCTAGGTTCGAATCTCGATCGCATACAAAGTTTTTACTTTTGTTTTTTTTTATGTTTATTCAAATTTTTAGTTATTTAAAAAAAAAGAAAATTGTACTTTAGGCCAAAAACTCCGAGTGAAGCTCGGTAGCCCAGGTACTTTAATTTAAATAAACATAACAACTAAAACTAAATGAATAACATTGTTATATTTAATTATAATACTTAAAAAAAATATTTTACACCTTTACAATTAAAATCAACAAATATTGTAAGGTACTTTGGTGCCATTTTTGAACTTTTGAAATCATTTTCGTATGACAGTGGGTGGGCACTGTCACAACTAACAAGTATATAATGCCTTTGAGACATCTAAAACCTTAGTCTCTCCCGTGACCATGATTGCTGTAAAGCATTCTGACGTCGGGAACTATAATCAAAATAAATCCGCCAAATAATCCGAAAAAATAGTTTTATTTACAATGAAGAATAACTTACTCCGGAACTTAGAAAATAAAACTAAACGTTAATGTCAAAATTATGATCATATATTTAAACAACAATGTTTGTATACAGTCAACGTAATGTTTTTTTTTTTAAATTAATGATATCACAAATCTATTTGGCAAAACCCAACATAGCCAAAAAAAAATTGAAGTATGAAGACAGAACAAAAACAGTAGCGTACTTTATTAACCGACTTCCAAAAAGGAGGAGGTCCTCAATTCGTCGGTATCTTTTTTTATGTATGTTCAACGATTACTCGAATACGCTGGACCGGATTTGGAAAAAAAAAATTTGTTTCCAAGGGTAGGTATACTTCCCAGGTGGTCCCCATATAAATTTTATCGAAATCGGTCGAGCATATTATTTTTTTAAATAAATTGTTTAATCGAATGTTATTAAAAAACTTTATTCTTACAAATTACCTGTTTATTACGTCTACACATGGACGAATTAGAGACTGGACCTGACATAAAATACAAATGTATGAAAACTAGTTCAACCAAGTGACGCATAACGCACACAAAGATTTTATTACATTATTATAAATACTGATACACAATACAATATTTCTAGTGTTTGAACGTAATCGATAAAATACATACATATATCGATGAACCAATGAATGACATTTTAGACATTGGTTAGCATATTTTACATCTTTTAATTTATTCTTCTTCTTTTAATTTTAATAAATTAAAATAGATGAATTAAAGAGGCAATAATAATGTGTCAAATAATAATTATTTTTTAATTTGATTTATATAAATACGATGGCATTGATGGCAACATTCTGTTGGCCTATAATAATGTTAATGAACAAATGAATATCGGGTATATATTCCATTTAATTGCCTCGGTGGTGTAGTGGCTAGCATGTACGGCTGCACACCCGGAGGTCCTGGGTTCGAGTCCCGGGTCGGGCCAAGTTTAGTTATTGAGTCTTTCTGTATAGTAAGTCTCAGTAACAGCCCGGAGTTGGGAAGTTGGCGGTGTTTCACCCCCGTGCCTCGGAGAGCACGTAAAGCCGTCGGTCCTGCGCCTTAACTCTCACTGGTCGTGTCGAGTAGTCGTCCCACCGGAGTATGAGAGTGATAGGAATAGAGAGTGCACTTGTGTCTGCGCGTACACTTGAGCACTATAATATCTCCTGCGCAGTTGGCTAATCTCAATGAGATTGGCCGCCGTGGCCGGAATCGGCTAGGAGAACATCATCATCATCATATATTCCATTAATATATAATAAATATTATTTTCTAAAGATTAAAAAAAAATTAAGCTAATTTAATTAAATAGAGTGATTTTATTGATTCTGTTATTGAACTATTTTAATTGGTAATTGATAGTCTCGGGTAGTTATAAAAATGTGACACTGTCCTAATATTGCTCAGTTCTTAATAAACATTTGTGAAATTAGGAAAAAGAAAAAGTGATTGCAAATTAAAGTGAGTGTTGTATCGTGAAAGTAAAATAATGAGTGCAAGTGGTAAAGTGTTTTATTACAAATCGCCAACCCAGAAGTTTAGTGCTAAAACATTATTGTTTGATTTTGTGTAATTTATGTGTTGAAATAAAATGATCTTTATTATTATTTCAATGGAATAATATTCAAAAGTATATAAATGTGGAATAAAATAAAATAAAAAATTAAGTACACATACTAAATATAATTTTTGCATTTATATTTTTATTTGATTTAGAAAATATTTTTATAAATTTATTGTCATCAGATTGTAGGATACTGTAGTAAAAGTATTTAATTCGTTCATGCGTCTACACTAAAAATGGAAAAATAAAAACCTAAAAAAAAACCCACCCCCCCCTTGACTAAAATGTAGAAAATAACTAAACGGGGGTTTTCATTTAAAACAGATACCTAATCAGATATTTTCGAAGTCGGTGCCAGCCAACAATATTTTAAGATCTAATAGGTAAATGTGTACATATTTTACGTACCTAATACCTATCGAAATATATTAGATTTGCTTTGCATCGGCTGGTACCGACTTCGAAAATAACATTATTAGGTATCTATTGTTAATGAAAACCCCCGTTTAGTAATTTTTTACATTTTAGTGCCTGGGAGTCGGTTTTAATTATTATTTTAAAGTTTTTACCTGTACTTGTTTTTGTTCGTAGCATAAGCAAAGCGTACGTAATCGTTATGCAAGAACATACCTACCTTTTTTTTTTTTTAACGTTGGGAAATGCATTTACGCACGACGTGTGGGACTCACCGGCGTAATACAGCCAGTACTACCCACTAAAACCCAACAAAACCTTCCCCCGTCTTAATGTGGCGTCGCAGGATCGCTTACGCATTCAACTACGACGCCCCGACGGCAGGTCTGCCAAAGCAGACCACCACAACCATGGGGTTGCTCCAAGGTCCACTCTGCTATCAGAGAAGTACCAGGAGCAACCCGCAAGGTACACCACCCCCCGAAGAGGGCCACCTCCCACCGCCCACCGAAGTGGGCAACCTCCCTGTGCGTTTCTTAGCTTCGCTACTACTACTGAGCCCCCCCATCACGACAAGGTGAACGCACGTTGGGGGGGGGGGAAGAACATACCTACCTAATCATGTCCATATTTTAATAAAGTACGTTAATTTATCTGAATTTATTCACGCTATTCAGATTTTGAAGATAAAAAAAAAAACAAATTACATTGAAAATGAGCAGAATAATTGCTATCATAAAGTCAGTTTATACATAACTTACATATGTACGTAACTTAATCATGACTATACTTAAAATCACTGGCAAAAACTATTATAAAACCAAATATACTATATAAAAAAATGTATCATCAGCACTGATAAAAAATAGTACGCTTCAACTTTATTTTTATGTAATTCATATTTTTCCTTTGAATATTCAAGTAGTTTTTAGCTATATAACGTATTAGATATGCTAGCCTCGTTGATCTAGTTGCTAATATGTACAAATAAAGATCCTAAGTTGGACTCCTGGCTGGGTTGAATTATAGCTAATAAGTTCCTAGAATGGAAGAGAAATTAACGTTATCTATGGCCAATATCATCGTGCAATGATTTTTATAAGAGAATAAGTAGCGTATAAAGAAAGAAGAATACACTTAAATCTTATTAGAAAAAAATCCTTCACGAGAGCTTTCTATGCATATAAAGCTTTAAGAGGACTAACTGACTTGACAAAAGTCAAGTTATTTATTATCTTATATTATTTAAATGTTATCGTAGATTTGGGTTTACCCGATGATAAATAAAGAGCATAACTTTAACGCCTTGTTTCCCAATTTTCAACGCCACATTATTTCTTATTTTTTTTTACAGTGTAGTTCTATTATTGACGTCAGTGTTCGGACAAGACTCGATCTTGGACGCTATCAACGGCTTCCTCAAAGACACGGAAGAAATTTACAACGGAGAGCCACCTGATGCCATAAATATACATACGGAATATGACTTTATTATCATTGGAGCAGGAACCGCCGGATGCGTGCTTAGCAATAGGTTGACTGAAATCGAAAAGTTCAAGGTAGGTTTAGACCGTTCATTCTATAAACTTAATAAAATAGTTATGATACTGTATATTGGATATTTTTATTAATTTAAAAGCAAAATCTTTTACACTTTTATATCTATACTATTATTATAAATGCGAAAGTAATTTTGTTTGTTTGTTATCTTTTCACGGCTAAACGGCTGTACCGATTTAGATAACAACTGGTATGGAGGTAGTTTGAAACCCTGGAAAGGACATAGGATAGTTTTTACATAAGAAGAAGAGAAGAGAGGGGGAGGGAGAGGGGGGGGGAGAAGTTTGTATGCGGAATCTAACATTTCTCAATTAAGGGATATAAAACTCTTCATACCTATGCATATATAGTCTATCTATTCATACAAAACTTACCCAGGAACGAACATGAGCGAACGAAGGTGAATTCACTAGTTAGTTATATAGTAAAAAGATTTATTTTTCACATTATTTTTAATTGTTTCACGGAGCCACATTATTATCACAACGCTGAGTGTGTATGGATGCCAAATAGACATGTAAAAAATACGAATAAAAAGCCATAGTCTACACGATCATGTTTTAAAGTTAATTTGAAAATGTAAAGGCATTTTAAAAACATAAAAAGCCTTTTTCAACCGACTTCAAAAAGGAGGAGGTTCTCAATTCGACTGTATATTTTTTATGTTTGTTACCTCAGAACTCCGTCATTTATTAACCGATTTGGACAATTTTTGTGTTGTTTGAAAGTGTATACTTCCAGATTGGTCCCATTTAAATTTCAAAAAAAAAATACCACCCCTAAGGGTGGAAAAATAGCTAATGATGAATTTAACCTACTTCTAATTGTCATATTGACTAGAAACTTTGCAAGTGTTTCTATTTCCGTTGATAGTACAGTGGTTCGGTATTGTTGACCTGATCTGATGGTAAGGCCAGAAGGTGGATAGGTGGAACTCTTCAACGGCTAATAGTAGATACTTTGAGTTTGGGCTTATTTTGTTTGATTTGACAAGCCTAACACGTTAGAATTCTTACTTTGCTACTACTGTCTACACTAAAAAGGGAAAAATTAAAACTTTTTGACAAAATAATAAAAACCGACTTCTAAAAAAAAGCACTAAAAAGTAAAAAATAACTGATTGGTAGTTTTCATTTACTATACATACCTAATCAAATATTTTCGAAATCGGTGTGCTTTGGCTAAGTAATTAAAGCCTACCTATTAAATACATACCTAATCAAATATTATCGAAATCGTTGCCAGCCCATACAAAGCAAAGCACACCGACTTCGAAAATATTTGATTAGGTATGTATAGTAAATGAAAACTACCAATCAGTTATTTTTTACTTTTTAGTGCTTTTGTTTGAAGTCGGTTTTTATTTTTTAGTTAAAAAGTTTTGATATTTAAGTGACTTTAAAACATTAAATCCTAATCAAGATTTTTATACATAAAAGCGTACGAATAAAATAAAAATTGTATAATATAAAGTCATTAAGATGCTCTATTTTTACCTAAAGTTAATTAAACTTAATGCAAAATGAGCAAAATACGATTATATAGTATTACTAGCGTCTCATCCTCGGTTCGCTCGGGTTCTTCCCTAGCTTGCTTCCCGATACAAACTTTCATCCCCATTTTCACCCCCTTGAGGGATGCTTTCCGGAATAAAAAGTATCCTATGTCCTTCCTATGGTCTCAAACTATCTACAACGCCACAAACTCACAATTCACAAACTTTACCTTTTTATTATATTAGTATAGATGAGTAGTGTATTAACTACCTGATATCCATAACACAAGCCGTAGCTTACCATGGAACTAGATGGTGATGTGTGTTAATGTCCCAACATATTGAATATTAGTAAACATACATATTAATATCAGACCGCAGTAATATTCCAGGAAATGGCCTTAAAATTAAAATAATAAAATGCATTATGAAAGACAAACTTAAAACTTTTAATACAATTTAATATTTTTTTAATTATAATTGGTGTTCAATTTTGTATGAACGTTTGCCCTTTTACAATTTGTCATGGTCAACGAGAACAAAGTACCGGGTACAGCTAATTTGTGATTTATTGGATATAACGGTGGATAGTTTCAATAATATTATTTTCTGTAATCTACTGCATCGTGGAGATATGGTAAAAATCACGAATTTTCTAAGAACTCCATCATCTCGCGCTAGCATGTACATTGTACTTCTACCAAATGCAAAGAAAGTCAACAAGTTAACTAGCACTTTTATTTTCAGAAACTGGTATATTATGGTGGTTAACTATCGTTACAAATTCCTATTAAAAAGTTTTCTTAGATGTACGAAAAATAAGCTTTCTAATTCTTGCTATATTAAATTCTATCCTTTATTATTTAATTCAATGTACTAATTTCAGTTTAGTCAAAATTTCAATTTACGCATACCTTTTTACGTTCATATGAGATCTCTTTGTCTTTAAACGAGGGTACCCGATGTAGATGGCCACTCAGCTAATTGTCTGGACCTTTTGCTGACAACTGATCCAGACAGATATAACATCCAGGTTTCATCCCCATTGGGTAGCTCTGACCACTGTCTGGTAAAAACTGTATCGTCTTACTCTCCACCAGATAACGATTCTACTGGCGTTAGACGAGTATGGCAATACAAGTCAGCAGATTGGGATGAGATGCGACATTTTTTTGCATCCTTTCCTTGGCGGCAGGTCTGCTTCTCTTCTTCCAATCCGTCGAGCTGTGCGGATGCTATAACTGATGTGGTGCATCAAGCGATGGAATATTTTATCCCGTTCTCTGATGTACCCGTTGGTGGCAAAGCTCGCCCATGGTTTAATGCCGAATGCACCTTTGCTGAAAAGCGTAAGCAATCGGCTTACCTTGCCTGGGTTGATGCTCGAGACCGCAAAGCTCCGGATGTAAGATCCAAGAAGAGAGCCTTTAACTTAGCCGCCAAGTCCCACAAAAAGACATTAAAGAAGGCTCGTCTTGACCGAATTACACATTTTGGCGCAAAGCTCTCTGCCCAACCATCTGGCAGCAGAGCTTTTTAGTCCCTTACCAAAGCTGTCGAGACGAACTTCTCTCGGCCCTCACTGCCACCGCTGGTAAAATCTGACGGATCCCTGGCTCATACGGCAAAGGAAAAGGCGACTTTGCTTGCCTCTCTTTTTGCCCAAAATTCGTGTCTAGACTCTGGCAATGCTACTCCACCACATCTATCTCACTGCGGGATCTCAATGCCTGAAATTGCGATTACTAATAAGGAGGTTAAGAGAGTATTGTGTCGTCTAGATGTGAATAAAGCCAGTGGTCCTGATGGTATACCAGCGATAGTCCTTAAAACATGTGCTCCCGAGTTGTCTCCGATACTGACACGTCTGTACCGCCTTTCTCTTAAGACTGGAAGAGTGCCTAAATCTTGGAAGCTTGCCAATGTGCAACCAGTGCCCAAGAAAGGAAGCCGTGCTGATCCTGCCAATTATCGTCCGATCTCAATCACCTCCATACTCTGCAAGATTATGGAGCGTGTATTGAACACTCGTCTTATGGCATACCTAGAACAGAACGATCTCCTCAGTGATCGACAATATGGGTTTCGCCGGAATCGGTCGACTGGGGACCTTCTAGTGTATGCCAACCACACCTTTGGCGAAACTATTGACCGAAGCGGGGAGGCGATTGCCGTCCCCCTCGATGTCTCAAAGGCTTTTGACAGGGTCTGGCACGCTAGCCTTATAAATAAGCTTTCAGCCTATGGCATATCTCCTGGCCTGATCGGCTGGATTAAAGACTTCCTGAGCGACCGATCACTCAGAGTTGTGGTTGATGGTTGTTCATCACAACTCTTAAAGACCAACTCAGGAGTTCCTCAGGGGTCTGTTCTCTCTGCAACCTTGTTTCTGCTGCATATCAACGATCTGCTTATACCCGGTATCTATGGGTACGCAGACGACAGCACTATTGTAGAGAGATACCTGCCGAATCCTCGGGCCAGTAAAGATCAAATTCAGTCCGAAAGAGAGGCCATGGTAGAGCGGTTGAATCTCACACTCAGGACAGTCTCCACTTGGGGCGATGCCAATCTTGTGAGTTTCAATGCCACCAAAACACAGGCGTGCCTGTTCACCACTAAAAGGAGACCTTTCACCTTGACTCCTACTTTCCGGAATGTGCCTTTGGAATACACAGAACGTCTGCAGTTGTTGGGGATGGACATCAGCCCCAACATGAACTACGGGCGGTTCATCGAGTCTAAGGCTAATGTAGCTGCGAGGAAAGTTGGCATCCTTGCAAAGGTCCGACAGTATTTCACGCCGGGTCAGTTTCTTGTTTTATATAAAGCGCAAGTCCGGTCGTGTGTGGAATACTGTAGCCACATATGGGCTGGTGCTGCGAAATGCCATCTGTCAGCCTTGGACTCGATTGAGAGGCGTGCTCAAAGGCTTATAGGTGACCCTACGCTGGTAAAAGCTAACCTACAAAGCCTCGATCACCGACGTAGGGTTGCCAGCCTTTGTGTATTCTATAGGTTACATTTCGGAGAGTGTGCGCAGGAACTACATGAATTAATTCCCCCATCCCCTTTCCATCATCGGAAAACCCGACGAACGGCTGGTCTCCATCCTTATGTCGTGGACATTCCACCCGTCCGCACGAAGCGTTTCGCTACGTCATTTATTATACGTACGGCTAAGGATTGGAACAACCTGCCTGCGTCGGTGTTTCCGTCCGATTATAATATGGGTGTCTTCAAGGCAAGAGTGAATAGGTGGCTACTGAATTAGTGCGACTCACCATCTACGACTGCGTTACCACTTACCATCAGGTGGAACGTAGTCAAGCACTAATTCTGAATAGTATAAAAAAAAATTAAAACGTTTTCGACCTATTCAAATAACATTACTATATTATAACTTGTGCTTAATATTCAATTAAGATTTTTGCTATACCACAAAAAAAGTTCAATTGCTCACTTCTTGAGTTCAAGTCTTTCTTCAAGCTTTCCATGAAAGAA